AACAATAACAAAATAGACAATAAAAAAATAAAAATATTGGGCATAAAATAAATAAATTAAAAATGTTTAAAATAAACCTGTAAAAATAAATTTGTTAAAGTACAAATGAAAATATAGCCATTTTAAACTTTTTCAACCAGAAGCTGCTTTTCATATTAGTGACAAACAATAACAGTAACAACAGCTTTTAGACAAGTTTAAAATTTCTAAAATACATTCAAAATGTTTAAAATAAACTACAAAAATTTATTTAAAGTACAAATTAAAATATAGTTTGTATCAACTGTATTTGATAATGTTTTGAACTTTTAAAATATTGCATGGTAAAAACAAGCTGCCCTTCATATTAGTGAAAAACTGGTATTTTTTGGTTAGTTACTTTCATTTTTGCTTCTACTTTTCATTTAAAATACATTTCCATTCTCGGCAGGTATCTAAGGTTCTTCTACATATTAAAAAAAGTTGTTAAACAACTGAGTGGCGCACTACTGCTACTAGTGGTGAGAAAGTGTATTGCACCTTATTCAAAATCAATGCAGTCCTGCGGCCCTCTGCAGCCCAAAGTTAAAAACTGTTGTCCTTTTGAGGCCCTCAAGGTGGCGCTGGCCACGGCCCGTTGGTTAAGAATCACTGATTTATACCATTATTTAGCTGCCATGTTGAGTCTACACCACAGGAAAACTACTTTAAATGTTTCACTATCAAATGCTGGAAAATGCAATGAAACACAGAAAATGACTTCAGGTTTAAAAGTAAACTTAACGGCACACAGTCTTGGTGCTTCTCTTAGTATAACTGAAAATGTTCYTATAATTGAAATATTACTTTCATAATAAGTAGAGGATCACCCAGACGACATAGGAGGGATGATGAAATAATTGATAACATGCAGAGAATTGGACTAGATGTGAAATAATAGATTTGTGTTCTAATTTTCTGTCTATTGTAAAAACTGAACCAACAGGMAATTAATTTCCCTAAAATACAAATAAATTTTGAGTTCAGGGGAATACTCCCCGGAAAATTAAAAAAAAAAAATCTACTCAAAACTACACATTTTCCAGCCATTTGAAAAGCATTTTACTAAATTCTTGAGATTTATGAAACATCATGTTTTACCTACATAAAATACTGAAAACCAGACTTTAACATGAACTTGATCTTAAGTCAAAACTGAGTTTTCTTTTATCCTCATTTTGTTTTCTTTTTACACACTGAGCACCAGTAGTTAGTCTTGACTGCATCGTATGATCTATTGATCATGAATTATCCTCTGCACACCTCACCACAAAGCAGCTGAAAAACCCACAAAATAAGTTACAATTTGAGTAACCAGTGATTATTCTACAGACTAAATCAAATATACTCTCATAAAAAATATATATAAAAAAACAATATATATAAAATACATTCCCCATGTGCGGCGCCTCCTAGATGGACGGCCCCCTTAGGCCTTGCCTATAACAGCCTATGCTACCGGCCAGCCCTCTGCTCAGTTGTTTCAATAGTATAAATACACGTCACACAAAGAAATTTTGTTGGTACTTCCGCAGCCCTCCTGCACCTCTGTCAAAAGATCAAAACCAAGCATTGTGTGCAAAAATAGCATTCTCAGAATGTTGCACATTTTCTTTCTATTGACCTTTTGAAGAATTTGCCACATTCTTAACATTGCATAGCTAAGGTTATGAACCCAACCCAAAGGCCAGTGTACTTTTGATTAAAGAGTTGCTTTCCAGAAAAGAGAGAGGGAGAAAAACTATTTCAGTGTTGTTTATGTCTGTGTCAGTTCAGGATGTTTTTAGTCGTCCTGCAGCATTTGGATCCTCAAAGTCAAAAATGTTTTAAACAGTTCTTTACAAAAATGTTACTTTCTGTTGTTGTATTTTGAAAGTAAAGTCACTCAAGAGTTTTAAATACACTTATTTCCTTGTGGATTCAGTCTTTGTTTTGTTTTGACTGCGTTCAACCTCTTACATWTTTTTTATAATGTCCTAATGCCAAATGAATAGCTTTCATTACATACTCTGAMATCCCAGAGGTGGGCTCAGGCTTCCTGTTGAGAATCTTTTTACTGCCCAGCATTCCTTCTCAGCACACCACAGTTGCATATAATCACTGGGAGTTGCCTTTCTAAAGTCATTATGTCATGGCATGGGCTCATTTACAGTCTCCAAACTTATACAACTACATGTTAATTTCAAACTAAGTGGTAATTTAGTGTCAGTGAGGTCAGCTCAGTGCATCAAATACGCCAGCGGGATTCATCATAAAACGTGTACACCATGCAGCAGCTACTTTCTGGATTCTTAAAGAACTCTCAGTGATAATAAACACAGACATGTATATTCAATATTTAATRTATTCTCTATTTTTTCACTTAAAATATGAAATGACACCTCAGGTATTTTATTTTGTGGAGTCTTGGAATTTCCTGTTAAAAGCATTTGCTGTTGTGCATGCATTTAGTTCCATTTGGCATGCCACAGTATTGGTGTAGAAACATACATGTGATTGCAATGATTCTTCTGTGTGACTGATTTGTTTTTAAAGAAAACATTGGATTGGTAAAATTTTATGAATTATACAATTTTCTTTTCTTTATCTGTGGCAATTGCGTTTGAATTGCAGCAGTTTAAATGATCAATTTTGATTTAAAAAATTGTTAATTTGGATCCAACAGTATTTGTTTTATTATAGGGATCAAAGTAATGCTGAGTTTCTACCAGTTACGGATCAATCAGAAAATTGCAACAACTGTTCAAAACAATTTTACTGCAATATTGTTTTCTTTTTTTTCCCCAGCTGATTTTGGTGTGTCTGCAAAAAATAACAGAACCCTGCAAAGAAGAGATACTTTTATTGGAACCCCATACTGGTGAGTGAGATGACTGTTTTCATGAATTGTAGAGGTGGTCTTTGAATGATTTTGTAGCTCAGATTTGACACACTGTAAGTCCAGTAATATTGTTTAATCATGCTACTTCATCATTTGAAATGTCAAAAAACTTGTTGGAGCTAAAGATGATACAAAAAATGTTTATGGAAATAATCAAAATGATGCATGTTATGCCTGTTTTTGATGTGTTTAATAAACAGAGAAATAAACTGCATATACAGTGTGTGTATATAT